ACTGCCATATATGGGCCATATATAGGTATGTGCCGCTGGGAAGGGTATGGTTTTCAAGCAGTTTCAAGCTCTGGGATAGGGTATATAAATCAGAGAGCTTGGGTCTAGAAAACGGTATCATTTTCCAGGAAGCGGATCAATTGTTTGAAGATTTTAGTCATTTTTACTCTAGACTAGGGAAAACGGGAATTACCTCTCAAAAATATTAAAACAATCAAATCGGTTTTGTCAAGAGCTATGACTCTTGGTTTTGTTTTGGCTGGGCTGTGCTAGTGACCTCAATACTTTCTGGAAAACAGCTACTCTAGGATAGGGGGATTTGGGGAGTTTAGTCTAGTGTAGGGTAGCAAAATTCAGCTGAAGTAGTTCTGGTAAAGGTTAACGGTTTCAGGGTCCCAGCGGCACATCCCCACCCAAAAGTTCCTAAAATACCCCTCGGGGGTCAGGGTTTGAACGGCTTGGCGGTACACCTCTACCCAAACTTCCCTTGAGTGTTGATTGTTCATCTGGTATGAACTAGACCTTAGAAGAATTTTTTGCATAACAGAAATATTATTGGGTTCTGTAAACACTAGAGAAGAATGAATGGACAGTCTTTAACTGGTAAAAACAAAAAAAATGCATCACGAGTTTTATTCTTAGGAGTGCGTCACGCGTTCCGTTCGTGGGGAAGGAACGCCTAAGAATGTCTGCGGGGGAGGCTAGAGTTTTACTGGCTCTGAAAGTCACCCGTATATACGCAGTATACGCCATGAATTGAAAAAAGCGCTGTTGCTAGAGACGTTGAAACCCTTTCAGAAATTAATGATGTATTTCCACCCTTAAAAGATCGTTTTCGGAAGAAACTGGTCGATTTGCTTATGTAATTTTATCCCCACTACCCCCAACTTACGCAATGCTGTATTTGCATCGGGGGAATCCCCGAAATATTTTTTCAACTTTCTTTAGTCAAAAGGCTCTGCTAGTCTAGCCTCTGTAGCCTTACAACCTTTCTGCCGACACTTGTGATTCAATATATAAGTTTTTGACCGACCACACTATTAATTAAATGGCTCTATACAAATAACGTGATAGTAAACGGAATGTTTCATGAGGTAATGCTGTTGGCCTACGCTTGCGTTTAACTCAGTGTGGGTATTGAGTTTCGGAAATAGGTCATTGTGAGTGACACTATCCTTTAATAAGTAACTGCCCAGTCAGTCTGTTCGAAGCCTCGCACACTCGCGTAGTCGGGAACTTCGTATCACCAAAATCTTTTTATATCACAGTGTTTTTATCATATCCCGTAGCCGAATTGTCTAGCTGAACCTTTCGTGGTAACATAGGAAAAATCTCACACGTATCTCGGAGTGGGACAGTTTAGAAACCTTGCAGGTCAAGTTGGGCAAGAGGATTATAGCCGCCATGTTGGCGAAATGGGGGCTGCTTTTCATGATAGTTTTGGGACAAATGGTGAGTACTAAAACCTTCACATCTTCCATTTGGGGGGCAGGAAAGGCACACTGGTACAGATTACTTCCCACTAACCTTCAGCTCTTTTTCTTTAATTGTAAAAAACTGTTGCTTTAAGTCTCTGATATATATTTGCTGACGCATCAAAACGTGTTGTAAACGTTTTGTAGAGAACTTCTACTGCCCGACGTCCTTTCTGAGCTTTTCTGGGGACTCCCTAAACATTAGCAGATTGTAAGACTTATGTTGTTTGATAACGATGTACTCTGATAAGCGATACGTTGAACGTTCCCAAGATTGTTGCGCACATGTGATAACAGGGAAATATTTGTATATATCACACACCTCTCAGTTACCAGGTCTGCTTTGTTAAGCAATAATCATTTCGGTTAACTTAACATGTCATATCTAACGCAGCTGCAACTACTTACTGCCCATCATACTTTTATATGCAAATTACTAGCGCGGCATAAATGAAATATAAAAATATATGTACTGTAGTTTGTTGTGTAGAAAGTGTTTACAATGGATAGTCGCATGAAGATAAGATATTTATATTACTGCCTATATGGCTATTTCATATCTTTTCTGGTTATGAAAGTCGTATTGTAGCGACTTTTGGTAAATTCGTAAAACTGGATAGGAAAATGTAGGCGGTCTATATGAACAGTGTTGTGACGGAAGTTATATCTTTAGCAATGACTTAATGAAGAATTTAAAATACGCTA